AGAGTATACAGCAGTACATGTCAATGTGAGGTATTCACAAATTCTAAATTTATAGATCACAGCAACCGAAATACACCAGTAAAGTCATGTAGTGTTTGAGTAAACAAAAGTGGTACTGGTTGAGGCGGGAATTTCAAATCGGTTTCGAAATCGCTGGGAGCGGTGTGGATAGCTGGACAGTCGTGGGATTGCTGATATAAGCGACAAATGGACGGTCACTAACAAGTAACCGGGCGGAAGAGATGACAAAGAACATTGTTAGAAGTAAAGCAAGCGTGGGCCTTTCAAAGTGCAGTCAGAGATACCAGCGGAATATTGGACATTGATCCAGCATTGGGTAACTAATTGTGGAGGAAGCATGTGAAATAAAGGCAAGTGATTCAAAGGTGATAATAAAACGGACCTTTTGTGCAGGTGATTACAGTGTCATATGGAAATTCAAATGAAGGCGAAAAGCTTTGCAGGGACTTCAGTGATCTTTTGAAGAGCGTGAATGGTGTATGGACATATAACGGGCTTTTAAAGAAAAGAAAAGCCGTCAATGAAACGGATTAGTGGAGACAAACGTCAATGGTTCCTGGAACTCAGGAACAAAACACACAGAGAGGCTACCAAAGCTCCGACGCTTCTGTGTGAAACGTAAAAGACTCGGGTCACTTAACAGAAGCCTTTAAACAAGCTAAAGGACTGTCCATCTCGAAGGAGCCGTGACCAGTGTTGACATGGGATTCCACACTCAGGGGTGTAAGTTCATCAGACCCGGAGGAATAAAGGACGTACGGGGACATTTCTTCGCGCGCCGCGTTGTTAACCCACGGGAAGCACTACCGTCCGCGGTCGTTGCAACACACTTTTGAGCAATGCGTCGCCAAATTCGCAACGGACCCCGAAATCAAAAGGCGCTTATCTGTGATATTCTACGATATCAGATTATTGTATGAACGATGACACCAAACAGATTCAAACTTCAATTATGAGATCACAAGGACTCAACAAACGAGAACCGAATTGCGGCGTGCGAGCGAGGAGCACGTGCGTCACGCAGGTCCAAAACAAAGAAATGACAAAGTAGCGTTCTGGGCGCGAACAAACAACAATTGGTCCATAAAAACAAACAGTGCGTGAAGACACGTCAGTAGTGTAGGCGAGTGAGCGATGTTAAGAAAAACATGGAACGGCCACGGTTTTAGGGGATTTTCTACGATGGGTCGTCACAGCGTTGTGTCTCACATTGACGGAAGGTTTGAAGGCAGGGTTGGACTTTCGCTAGTTTGCTGTGTTCCCCGATAGCATCTAAACCCACATCGCGTATTGGAAATAATGAAGACTGTGCCCTTCCTCTTTTTGCAACCACCATCCATGTATATTTTACCCATTTCCCTGACTTCCGTCACCGCACCTCTCCCACCTTCCCCAGCCTTATCCTCTTCATTCTACAACTTACCACCACCACCACTTTATCCAAGCACTGCCTGTTTTCGTGACATTTTTGGGGTAGCCTCACCTGGAAAAGGACCCAGTACGTAACCGTTGGACTGCTACACTCTTCCGACAGCGAATTCAATCCAAAACACCCGCTTCGTCTACACAGTAAAGAAAGTAGTAGAACTCAAGCCTAAAAGTCGCCCCCGAACAGGATTCATCACGAGACTCACTGGTGCAACAGTCTCGACTGCTTTGTTGGCTCGAGCTCGAAGTCCTGTGCCCTGACCTTACCTGACTCTGAAAGCGTTGGGCAGGTTTCTTGTCCCTCTTTGTGGTATCTTCACTGCGAGTTGATCCTCTCGCTACAATAACAGAAGATCACCTCCGAGGTCATTAAGCCCATGATTTAGGAGGCTGCCCAAATGCTGTTCCATGCCATTTAAGGAACACCTACATTTCGCTGGGCCGTGCTGCCCCGTACGTTCACATATCATCCAGCCCAATGTCTTGCTTGCTGCACGGAAAGTACGTGAGTTTCCCATCCTCTGCCCCAGCACACGCTGCTTTCCAAGTAAGTCACAAAGGGGGGGAGATACACTCCATCCTCCTCCCACTGAACAATCCATATACCTTGAACATGAAGCCACTCAGACAAAATCGAGCCGACCAAATTCGGGGCTCGCATTCACAAGTAATTCGGAGTGGAAGCCTCCGCAGCTAGGACGCGTTCATTGCCTTCCACGGAGGTGAGCTTCGGCCGTACTCCACTTGCAGCCATGACCTGAGTCCCGCACACCGTGCTCATTGCTGATGGTCAGTGGAGCTTCTTCGCGAAAAGCCCTTCCACCAATGTCCTGCCTAACCCGCTATACACAGACATAAGGGCCTCCGTCGCCCCGCCAGGGTTCACCACTTCGACGATCAACACACGGAACTAAACTGCTTTTCGAGAAGGCTGAAATTTTTCGCCAGCTAATGCTTTGCTCACCTGGTGTAGCAGCCGGTGATGTCTGCCCATTCAGCCTTCTCGGAAGCTTCTTGCTTTCACTGGGGCAAGATGCTACCCTGTGTGAGTAGATGAGACTTTGAAACACGCCCAACCGTCTTTGCCAGTTCCCATGGTTCACTCACCAAAGCCTTGAGGAACTTCCACGGTCCGTCAATTGGTGACTGGCGCCGCAATCTCTGCAGCCCCGAGTAGCTACACCCTCGCGCGAGAAGGCATGCATGCTTGTCCATAGCAGTTGTTTCGAGTCTTCTAGCCCAGCTTTTTGAGCTTGGCTGCCACTAGGTCTGCTCGTCCTGTCGCTGTCCCGAATAAGCTGGTCGAATCTGCTGTCGGTTGTCCTAGCCTCTTTATCTAAGTAATCAGTCAGGTCCTCGAATTTGGCCCCGCGGTCACCCTGGCCTATGCATTCGGCCTCTTAGTCCCGGCTACCCCGTGGCACAGATAAAAAGCAACGAATTTTCCCCCTAAGTTGTGCATACCGTCAAGATCAGCCCCTTAACCCGAGTGATTAAGGGTTATCGAACGGTTTTGCATTTTATTGACTAGGTCGCGTAAGGTCTGGACTTTGCCCTTTGTTCTCTTGGCACCTAAACCCGCGCAGTCTACCACAATGCGGACAGCTCCAAACGGTTGACTAAAAAATTCCTCTAAGCTTTTCCTCGCTCGTGCCTAGCCCTGAACTGGGTCAGAAATGGCACAACCATCGATAGCTTCCCTGGTTCGTCCTCGGCAATGGTGGGCTGGAAACAGCGGGCTCTGCCCGGATCGGTCGCCTGGGCCTCGACAAAGGCTTCAAACGTTTTACCAGGCTTTCAGCATAGTTCCGGTGGTCTGTCAAAGATTGTCAGTTCCACTCCTGTTGGACCGGTAGGTGGCCGCATCGGTGAGAGCCACTCGAAGGCCAACTTGAGCCACCTCATTTCTAGTTGCCTTGGTTCATGTAAAGGTCATTTTCAGGGGCCTAAGGCTCCGGCCCGTCCTGTTTTAATTATTCTTCTGCATCCCGCGACAGCTGACTAGCGGGCAATCGCTGTTTCTCCGGATCGTATATCTTTGGCCTGAACAGATCATCAGTTTCAAAATCAACACAAAACTCGGTAAAACATGGACTTGGGCCGACAGGGCCGAGAGATCTGAAATATTCTGAAAAATCAGGTGTACCCAAAACCCTCCCCAGTGACTCTGCCGAGTTGTGTCCTGTCCGAGTTCTGGTGATGTGATCCCTCTCCAGAGTACGCTGGGTATTCTCCCATTCCAAGTTGATCGATTTTGGTATTGTGACGCTCCTTCGAGCAAAGTGTAACCAAATTCGCACAAATCCCGAATTCGGAACAAGATAAATTTGCGGTTTCGACGATACTGAATTAGTTCGGGAGCAACCCCGTAAAATAAGTACAAGCCTCAGATATTCAATTAGAAGGACTCAATAGGAGAGCCAAGATCAATGTGTGAGATAGACGAGCATAAGGCACACAGTTCTAACCAGGATACGACAAAGTCACGCGTTGAATGTGAATAAAAGAGGTCAGTTAACAAAAGGGTTTACGGTGCGTATATAGTTGAACATTTTCACGGAATCAGGGTAAGAAGGGGATCCGGAGGGACTTTCCACCAGGGGGCGGTACACTGAGCACTCTATTCCCGCAGTGGTGTTCTACCTGTCTTGGGTTCAGAGAGAAGTTACCCTAGCTTCATGGCGTGTTGTTGATTACAACTGTAAAGTATGTGTGGCCCACGCGTTGTGGGAAGTTCTCGCATATGAGCGTAATGGAGAGGCAGCTTGGTTAGGTCCACCCGACCTGACTCAGAGCACCTTCTTGATAACGGCATGCGAAGTTACTTCAACTTATTTTGATAGTCCGTAACCAACAGAAGACGCTGATCCCTTCGCCGTGCGCCTCTGGGTCCCTCCACTGATACATTTCTGCTGCAGTCCAGGGATATTTCCGTGACTGCCTGTTTTGTCCTCATTATACCTGTCACAGAAGCGGCCTGGGCTGGCAGGTTCCCCATTCGAGTCGCCTGACATGGAATCAGATCAGACAAGCTTTTCACTTTTAGTTCGACCCGATCTCGTTAAGCTTTACATGACCCTTCCTCTCCGCAGCGAATGACCGTTGGCTCAGTCACCACCATCAGGGATGTGGGCTTAGATGTTCTATCTCAATAAACTGAGCTGGATTCACCCCCGCGTGTCTGGAATCGTTCGGGGGTTTCTTCGTCGTTCTTTTACCAATGTTTCATCAGCCCTGTTGTCAGACCTCCTAGACGTGTCTCTGCACCTTGCTATACACCCTGAACATACTTAAGCCCTGAATATAAATGCATGGGTTTATGTTTGGGTAAAGGCGCGGTCGTAGCATCACAAACATAGGCCCGCGTTTTTTCACTTCCTGATCACGTATACTACGCCTGAACCGACGTCGACCGCCAATCTCGATCAGTATGATACATCACGGTTAGCAAAGTACTGTCGCATTCATCCGGGACAAAATCCTGATTTTTCGGTGGTAATAGAGTCCATCAACGAGAGACGAGTGTGTTCCACCTGGCTTTGTTCATACTCATGAGTGTCACAGTTACGTTTATGGTGTTTGAGGCGCAACGATTGACGCCAACCCTCACTCCAGGCGTACCGTTTTTTGCCGTTGTACAGTTCCTTCAAATTCCACTCGCATTCGTCCGTGCGGCGTCCACTGATCCAGGAATTTTACCACGTGCTACCAAACCCGAAGCAAACCGGGGGAAATATCAAAAGCTACCCGGGGACTTATTCGTGGATGGCCTTGAAAACCATCGTGTGAAGCGATTCACAACAGCCAAATGTGCGACCCTATCCGATCGGAGCGCATGCGCGCAAAATTCTGATGTTGGATCACGCGGTCAAATTGAATTTTATCACGCGTGTCGGTTCTTCCGTCCACCACGGGCTTCGCCTTATTCTGTTTGTGATTAATTCGTCGAACTCTTTGCCAACTACTGTCAGCGAATGGGTAATGGTGTCTGTCGACAGAACTATCGATGCCTCAATCTGTTCACTTACAGTCTGAGTGTTTGCGGTATGTGTGTTTGTTTTTGAGGTGATCAATCTGTTCCAGTCATGGTCAAAACCTCACCCGGTTTTCTGTTGGAGATTCTCATATTACTTTTCACCCTGTGGAGGGTGATTGGTCTGTCGGTCTTTCACACCTCGCTGACTTGTGGCGACTTTTGCACTCAAGAGGACATTCGAAATTTCACGCGTGCTTTGAAACAAGCTGGTCAAAATATCCTCCTGCTCTGAAAGGCCAATGCCTGAATTTCTTTTGCACTCTCTGTGGTCCCAATATGCTCCATATATTCCGTTGATAGCTACTGGTGGATGGAAGCCATCAGCCTGTTGGTGCCGTAGGTTGTGGCAGAGATCTATCCAGTTTCGGCACACCTTTTACTCCCATGAGACAGACAAATTTTCACCCTTCGGCTTTTGTTCTTAGCGGTCCAATTCATGTGGCCCTAAGCTTAGTACTGCTGTCAACAGGACCAACATGAATGATTTAAAAATTTAATACCGTCTTCTCGGTACCCTTGTCAGTTCGTCTCGATCAGCCTTGGCGCTACCTCATCGCCGGCCACCCGAAACAAATGTGCGGGAATGTTTGATTCGTGCACGGATTCGCCAGCCCAAATGATTGATAATAATCCAGCTTTGCCTGATAATGCGACTGACCTCATCACAAAATTTAAACAAAGTAACAGTTTGATTAAGTCCTGTTTCTCGAAATTCTTTTTTAATGTTCCTCAAACGACCTTTGCCTGATCAACGAAAATCGACAACAATGTCTGCTCTGCTCCTCTATCTTTGGTCTTCACTGCTGCTGATTGTCACACTGAGAACATCTGCCCTGGAAGCACCACCACCGTGCCAGTCGAAGCGAAGGATGCAGAAGGCAGTTAACTAAATTTCTGGGTCATTTTAGTTGTTAGGTCCGTTCCTCCCACTGCGTGACTACGTCGAGCATCTTGCATAACCTCGGCTTACTTGACTCCCGTTCTTTTAACTGTTTTTGTGCGTGGTGTTTCACCCCTAATAAATGACGCAAACAATCGGATTGTGTCTCACATGTGGGGTTCCGATCAGTACCGTGTCTTTGACTTATACCACAACCGTCCTCATCCTCGAGGCACACTACTACTGATCATGCGAGTGCAGCCCCTTGTTGTCCACATGGCGCCATATTTCGCTAACTACTCTGCCCCATGATTCCTGTCTTTCTTATTCGTAATCCAATCGCCAATTCGACCATCATCATTACCACCACGGCTACCACCGTTAGCACTTTTTATGAACAAATGATTTCGTCATATGAAATTATCTTCCAGCGCTTCGGTTCAGAATAAACAGAAAAACGACTTTCTCTCTCTTAACCCCAGGGGTTATATTAGCCACTCCTTCTTCATGCGTATTCCCCGTTTGCTTTGCGTTGAAAGAAAAAATTCATTCGTTTCTTCTTAATCACTCCCATTGTCATCCGGGCAAAAATGCTCAATCCCTTCTCATTGTGGTGACCAGATTAAAAGATAAGTGATTAAAATTTTCTTGATCTCGTACGTAACCCGCGTATGCGTCATAAGAAGATGGTCCTTTTGTCCTCTTCGAAACAAGTGGCTTCAGGTGCTGGTCAAGACCGCGACAGCTGCGTTTCCGATTTTGAGTTTGAGCCTATCAAACAGAGCTTTCCGTGCCTCACCTGGTAGTTATTCCAGCGCCGTCAACCTTCTCACCACTAAGTACCTGTTGTCAATTCCAAAGCATTTGCTTTCTTTGCTGATTTATACATTTTGACTTTAAAGATCCCATTGTTTTTAACTCATTTTGAGTGTATTTGATCCAACAGTGTAACTCCCATTCTATCCCACCCTACAAAGACACCCGGTAGATTGTCCCGTGATCAACAGTCATTTTCCTCTTATTCGTGTAAAGTTGTCTGTACCCATTGCGCATTTGGTGCAGAGAAGGCAAGCTAACAGAAAATTAGATATTGAATTAGCTGTTGTCCCAATGGAGCCACAGCAAGCAAAAATCGCAGCTTATGCCATCTTGGGCATCTTGGTAACGTTTCATTTAGCAACACGGAAGCTAGACCTCAACCCCCGGCTTTTCTGCTTTTGAGGAGCCCAGTATTGACCCCTGGGTGCTGCGCCAGCGGGTGTTCGTGCATTCAGAAATACCTTCGACAGATACAGATGGTACGGCAAGACCAACCAGCCTATTGGGCAGGGAACAACAAAAGTGGTAAGAGCACACCAGACTGTATTCCAAGTAGATTTAGACAGCGGCTTCTAACGATGGTCCAAACATCTATAAAGGCGCAAGCTAGCTAGCACTTTAGCTGACCCTTCTCTAGTGTCGCAGACTACTTAGGAGCTGGTGGGTCTCATCATCAATATGCCTGCTTCCTTCGGCCCCTTGAGTTGAAAGTATTTGGGTTTTAGTAGTTTGAGCTGTCTGGTGCTCTGGTTAGAGTGGCCAATTTTCTTTCTGAAGTTTTGTCCCATAATTCTTGTGGAGCGGATTGGCTCGGGGAGTAATTCTGCACCAAAGTTCAGCATACGGTAGAACATTCTAGCTTTAAAAGGATATTTTATTTGTCTTCCCGTTATTTTTATTCCTTCTCTCTTCCTTTCCAGTCTTCTTTCTTTTTCACGCAAGCTCTTCTGTTCATTTATCCCTTCTCCATGGTTTTGGCTGAATCATTTTCCACTTAACCCCATTTTCTTTTCTCTCCCCATTTTTAATTAGTTCACTTTTTACGCTACTTTCGCGGGGCCCTGTCCGAGTTAGATCGTGCGATAACGGAGAGGATGTTGGATGTGGAACTCCGGTTTCCCCTTTTCAGATGCTGACCTAGCGATTAAGTAGATTCCCTCTTTTGACTGGCCAAATTCTTGGTCCAAAGACTTTGTGCAGAATAAGTCCCAACTACGCACTTAGTTGCTTTTATGCTGCTTCAGATTCAGGTACCATTTCCGTTCCTTCGGTTATTCTTTCTTGATTTCCTTCCATGTACTTCTCGGGCTCTATCCTTGACTGCCGGGTGTGATTCTGGCCCAGTCGTGCACCTTTTCCACCCCACGGTGTAGCGCCATGTCAATCATGCTCCATCAATCGCCATCTGCATAGGCCGCCGGAGAATAATCAATGGGCCGCGGGGTCAGACGTACAGAAAAACCCCTCGAAGCGCTCGACCTGCTCGCACAAGAAAAGCGTCGCCTGAGGGAAGACCTGATTGAAGGGTTCACGGGGATAGCATAAGCTGAAAGGTTGCTGCCATTCCCAGGTACCAACACCAACCCTGAGATGAAGATTACAAGCAGATGAAACCCTAAGACCAATGAAGGCGTTAGGTAGCATTTCTTATCTCGCCGAGCAACTAACCACTGGAGCAAACAACCCCCCAGAAAGCAACAGCAAGTACCATTGTCATGTTCAAATGATGACTGGAAGACTGTCGGGATGAGGTTTTCCAGGACTAGGAAAAGCCGAATTACCATCCCCTCATCTTGTTCAGTAAGTTTCCCCTCCTCTCTTTATTACTTCCTTCCTTCCCGGGACACAACACATACACGATCCCCGTCATACACAATAAAATACAGCATGCAATGTCCCCTATTTGTTTGTCCCCTAATGTCCATGAGGGTCTCCTTTGGGGTAAGTATGACAGTTAGTTGGGCAGTAAACCCATCTATCCAGCGCTGCTGAAATTCTTCCGGTTTTAACCAGGTTTCCACTCGACTTTCATTCAAAAACCACAAAACTTGTATCACTAGGCAGCGGAAGTTCAGTGGGACCCTTTTGGCTATTAACTGCAAATATCTGTTCGTACCTTGGCGAAAGCCGCCAGTACTGTAATGTGATCTAGTCCTATCTGACTGAGCTGTGCAGCATCAAACTGAGGCCGCTAGAGAGAGATTTTCAATAATAACTCGTCCCAGCTGGAGAATCTGGGCGAAATCTTGAGAAAACAGCTCCCCAAAAACCCTAATAGTGTCTGTGTCTTGAAAAAGGGGCGTCTGCTTCCTTCTGGAATGCTTAGCGTAGAGAGCCATGGAAAGGGGCACAGCAAACAACTACCTGGACAAACTGTTAATTCCGGCCGCATAACGTCCTATACAACTTGACGGAGGTGACTTCGAGGGGAAGAATTCAGGGCCTAAATTATTTTCCGGTCTCAGGCAAGAGAGATTTTTCCGGATGGCGTCAGGTTCACGAACAAGCAGTCCTCAACTGTTAGTGGGACGAGGTGGCCCTTTGCCGTGGATGTCGAGCTGATTTACCCTTTGGACGAAGGGTAAGAGTATGATCCATCCAAAATTTGTTATAGTTGACGTTTCTTAGTTGTTCCATACTATTCGTGGAAGCCCGCGCTGCTCATCTCTTACTTTGGTTCGGCCTTCTGTACTTGAAGGCAGTCAGCCAGATCGTCCAGTTTCTTGCACCGATGAGCTCTTCGGTCTTCAGTCATCTTGAGGCCATGAACAGTCGTCTGCTCCTAGTAGGCTTCTCTGAGTAAGAAGGTACCATAATTTTTAAATAAGACAGTGTTCCAGTAGCCACTCTTACTGAAAGTTCCCTTTGATGCCAAGTTCTATCACATTTTGATCGCATCCACCGGATTTGCCTCATCTATCTCCCCCCGTCAGTCTATTACGCTCATCGACAGACCTCATAGCGAAAGATTAGCTCATAATCACTGTTATTACACACCTCTCCGCGATCTGAAGTCCTAGCCCTCGTGGTCTGTCATCTCCTGAAAGTCCTAGGGGAAAATCCCCAGTTTCAGTTGACAAGTCTGTCACCCCATAAGTTTTAAACACTTCTAATAACTCATCTCCAAATCTTCCTCTTTTCAACGAGAATAGATTCAGAGCGTCTAACGTTTGTTCGTAGCCTAGCCCCCGGCAACACCTAAGCAA